GTGAGAGGCAAGATGATGGTGCTCACTTGTAATCCCAGCACTGTGGGAAGCTGAGACGGGAGGATCACAAGTTCAAGTCTAGACAGGGCAATTTATAACCTGTTTTCAACTTAGATTGTCTCAAAATAATTTCTGAAGGATAGGGATGAAAAGACCCTGGGTACAGTCCCTGTACCAGAAAAAGAATGATGGGGGATTAATTTTCCCAGAAAGGACAGACCTTTACTTTTATCAACAAATAAAATCAGTTGCCTTTAAAAAAAAAACCATGGCCACCTTTGTATCACCTCTGGGTCCCCCTTACCATCCATCATATGCCCAGAGTCCATTGTAAAATGCCAGGCTGATGCCACCCACAGATGCCGATGTACCCACAAAAGAATTTTCAAAATTTTTTGTGTTTCCTGTAATTAAGCAGATAGAGCAGGTGTCAGGTGAGTGGTCCGACTCAGTGCTGCTTTGCTCAAGAGCCAGCATAGGACATAGTGAGCAGGTGGCAGCTAAGTCTTGCTGCAGAGTTCACAGCAGACTCAGACTCAGGTGGGGTGGGTGTGCGTGTGTGTGTGTGTGTGTGTACATGCATGTGTGTGCTGTGTGGCACCCACCCTCCCTTCCCAACCTCCCACAGTCACCTTGGGCCAGGAGGACCAGGCCACTGATGACAATGATGACCACGATTACCATCTTGGCCGCAGTGAAGAAATTCTGGACGTAGCTTCCCAGCTTTGCACTCAGGGCGTTCACTGTGGTGATGAGCACTGGGAGGGGTGCAGCAGGGCAGGTCGCACCCTGTGTTCAAGTATCCATGGCCCTAGAGTCTCTCTTCTCCCCTCCCACTGCTCCTCACACTGTGTCCCACGGCATGGAGTTCTGATCCAAAGGAGGGAGTGGAAAGACCTACACCATGCACCTGATGGTGACCTATGAAATCAACTCCCCCTCAGAGGGCAGAGAAGGAGCAGCAACTAGGCCCCAAGTGGAGGGTACTGGCCGGTGGCAGGGACAGCCATCAGCAGCCCCTGATAGGCCTAGGTACTGCTCAGCTCCTGGAGTGGCCACCTGCCCAGCTCCAGAGCCTCCAGTCCCCCAGGGCCTCTGCATGGACACAGGATGTGAGGCCACGTCCCTCAGCCACCTCTGACCCCACCCCACGATGTCAGGCTTGGGCACTCACAGATAGCAGCAGCAGCGAGGCATTTAATGACCACCTCAGGAGGCTTGCAGCCTGAGTAGAATGGTGCGCACACATACTCAGAAAAGCTGAGGCAGATGATGGCGAACGATGAGGGCTTCATGACCATCGTGCTGGTCCAGGAGAAGAGGTAGGCAGGGATGGGGCCGAAGGCCTCCATCAGGTACGGGTACTCGCCGCCCGATTTGGTGATCATCGTGCCAAGCTCTGCAAAGCACAGAGCTCCTAGAACAGAGAAGATAGAGTCCCCTCAGTCCCCCATGAGATGTCATCCTTCCCCTGTGTACACTGTGTCACATAGGGCCAAGTCTTCAGACACTGGACAGCCCTGAGTTCTGACCACTGGACATTTATTGGCAACCTGATTTACCTTTATTTGCCACCCATGCCTTGAAAAGGAATGGAGCCAGGTGTGCTGGTACAGCCTGTAATTTCAGCCCTCTGGGCAAGTGAGGCAGGGGGATTGCAAATTTGAGCCTAGTCTGGTCAAGTTAACAATTAATGAAACCCTGTCACAAAATTAAAAATGGGCTGGGGATGTAGCTCAATGAGAAAGACCTGGGTTGAGTCCCAAGAACCGAAAATAAATAAGTGGGGGACCTGGCATCAAACAGACAGTGCTTCTCCCTGTGTTCCATGGTCAAAGGGGTCCAGGAGGAGCAGTCTTTGTTACCCAGTGTGGCGAGGACCCCGCAGGCCGCCCATATGATGAGACAGGGCCCCACCGTTCCTGTGTTGCTGAGCACAGACTTGGGGGAAATGAAGATCCCGGAACCAATGATGGTGCCCACAATGATGCATACGCCACTGAACAGGCCCACCTGGGATGGGGAGGGAGGAAGAGGAGTTAGTGCTGTCACCCAGAGGCCTTGGACCAGAGGCACCCACTAGCAGTGAGTCTGCCCAGCTCAAAGTGAGCCCCACGTTCCAGACATGTACACCTTGAGGTGCTGCTGTGATTCCACCAGGACACTGTTCCTGGAGCTCTGTATATATGAAATTATTTAATCTGTGCTGGGCGTGGTGGTAGGAGGCTGGGGCAGGTAGATCACAAGGCCAGTGACCCTCTCAGGAGAAAACTGAGCATAGAGAGGCTGATCTTGCCCAGAGTTACAGAGGCAGGCCCAGGTTCCAAGATCCTGGCCACCAGCTCTCTTGCCCTCCACAACAGAGGTTGCTGGGAGAACCCTTTCACTGGGTAGAACAGAAAACAGTTTTCACCAAGGAAACCAGGCTCAGGATCTGGAGTGCTGGCCAGGGAAGCCAGGTGCGCAAGATAGCTCCCAGGGAAGATACCTGTTGGAGACTGGGACTGCTGTGTCGTATCCGTCCTTCAGGGCATGAGCTTCCTAAGAGCTACACCTGGCTTAGGTATGTACTGGTGGTTTGGTTTTTTGTTTTTTTTTTTTTTTTTTTTTTTTTTTTTTTTTTTGGTGGAACTGAGGATTGAACTCACGTCCTTGTGCTTGCCAGGAAAGTGCTTATTCCACTGAGCTATCTCCCCAGCCCTCAAGGTATGTACTGTTTTGATAAATTTGTGTGAAGGATAAGGACAGGCTGTGGGATGCCAAGATGTCTCAAAATAAATACAAATGAATAGGGGATATAGCTCTGTGAGAGTGCCCGGGTTTCAGTCGCTAGCAGCACACACCCATGAATTGATAAAAAATTTATGTGTGATATATAAATCTTTCCTGCTCTGTATGATGCATGCTGGCAAATCTATTACTCAGTTTCATATCTCAGGTAAGTGCAATCCCACTGCAACTCAGCCCCATCACCCTGTCCTCAAAGCCTTCCGAGATCTGGTCTCACGCTGAGTGGCCCAGCGTTCCACTTTCCTCACCCACAGCCCGCAGCCTCCTGCCCTCCACATGTAGCACCTGCTGCCCACACCCACCCAGGGCAGGCTCAGTGTGCAGCTCCTTTTTATTTCAATCTTTGGTCCTGGAGGTGGAGCCCAGGACCTTCCCTTGCAGCTCCATCTCCACCCATGTATTTTCAGTCAGGTATTTGGGAAGGCACTATGCTGCTCACTCAGGGCTGGAACTTCCACTGCTCCTGCCTTAGCCCCCCTCCCCCAGCCTCCCAGTGCTGCAGTTATAGGCCTGAGCCCTCAGCCTGGCTGTCCTGCTCTCCACTCCCACCCCGGCTTCTTTCCTCCCAGGCCCAGCACTAGTCCTGTCTCCTCACTATGTATCAGCTCAGCTCTTCCATCCCTGTCCTGTCTATGCCAGCTGCACCTTTGCAGTGAGACCCCCAAGACAGAGCGCTGCTGCTGGAGGCCCTGCGATGCCCAGCTCCAGGGCAGTCGTGTAAGGATCAAACCTTTGCTGAAGATGGGTAGAGGGGACCTGGACACCAGAAGGCCCCCTCTGATTACCCCTGAAAAGGCCATCAGTTGAGCAGATACCCAACACTCAGGCCCTCCCCAGTCATGGAAGCACACACAAGAAGCTCATGCGTGACCCAGGAACTTCAAGAGTGCACTGCGTTCACCAGAGACAGGGCCAGGGTAGGTCCAGAGCACGGCTCATTTAAGACCTGCTGCGCAAATAAACAGCCGTGCGCTTCAGTGGGTCACAGGATCAGCAGGGCTCCACTGCTTCTGCCCTCATTCAGACACCCACCCTGAGCCTGGGAAAGACCCAGGGGAAACAGGAGGCCTCACCTCTTTCTGGAGATCGGTGACCTTGGGTTCCATGCTCTGGATGGAGCCCTCATCCTCCCTGCGTTTTCTCGGGTTCGTCTTCTCCTCCATCTTTTTCTCCTGCCACATCCAGGAGGCTGCAAGGAGGGCATGGGCTGAAGTCTGATCCCACAAAAGCAGACAAGATACAAAGCGGAGCTCAGCCAGGGCTGCTGTGGGCTGTGCACCCGCGTGTTGGGTACGGACTCCCAAAGCAAAAGTCAGCTCTAGTTTGAGAAGGGTGCAGGTGGCAGGCCCTGGGGGAGAACTTGCTTAGCATTTGGGAGAGAAAAGTCATTGGTATCATTGGAGCTGCAGGAAAGTTTCCTGTGTCTTTTGCAGAGCACAGGGGCTTATTTGCCCCGCCCCTGGCCAGTCTGTCTTACAGTCCCCTGGCTCCAGTGCCAGGTCTTTCTCTGTTAATCCTGGACTGTAGCTTGCTTGAAACTCATCCTGCCTCCATCATCCAGTGCCTTTGTTTTCAAAAGTAAAAAATTATTGAATATAATAGAATATGCTTAGAGGAGTCAGCCCCAGGCAGTGTTGGTTTTCTTATAATTCCTTCCAAATTTAAGACCCCTGGGGTACAAATGACCCGTAGGATAGGTTCAGAACTTTCCCATTCAGGGACGCAAGGAATAATACAATTGCTGAGGAAAACCAGTCCCAGATGCTCAGGCCTCGCTCCCTCAAAATGCAATCCCTGAGCAGACCGGGCCACCCAGCTGGGAGAGCATCGGGCCTCCCCATCACCCTGTAGGCCTTACCTTTCTCTTGGTCTTGTGGAGCCAGAGGAGCTGCCAGCCCAGCTGTCTGCCTGCGACTGTGAACCAGCTGAGGAAGGGGCATATCTTGTGCCCAAAGTGGAGGAAGCCAAAGGTACAGAGGTCAGCAAAGGTAATTATTAAACTTCTCCCACCTCCTTTTCTAAGTAGTGAAGCTTTTGATAGACCACACAAAAAGGGAGTGTCAGGGAAGCCAGTTTCTTTCCAAAAATGTTTTTGTGTATCTGTGTTTTAATCGGCTAAAAAAAAGTCTCCCAGATCAGCTCTATCTCCTAAGAGGAAATCTCTGCAAAGAGTAGAAATTCTGCTTGCTTTCATCTTGGGGAATCAGAGATAAATTCTGGAACAAACTGATCTCAGTGGGTCATATTTATAACTCAAGGCAGGCTGCAGATTGGTATGTGGTATGTAGGTAATGACATTGTTTTCCCCTCCATGAGGAATTTTCTCATAGAGGTGGGTGGGGAGGTAGGTGTGCTCTCCTGCAGTAGGTGGGGTGATGTCACAGGTGGTGTGAGCCTCTGCATTGTCCTGGCCCAAAGCTCTCTGGCCAAGTGCTGTCAAGGTTTGGTTGTGGGACATCCAAGGGGTCCATGGTCCTGTTCCCTAAACTATGGAGTGAGAAAAAGATAGGAAAATGCCATCCATACTCCATTTCACGGGGATACTGAGGCCGAGCAGGAGTCCAAAGCATGAAGCCAGAGAGACCTGGTTCCAAACCAGCTCTAAGGTGCCTGAGAGGTTGGCTTTCCCTTGGAGGAAGCAGAGGTTCTCAGGCTGGGCTAAGATTGGGCCCAGCACACTCTCCCCTCCCACCAGCCAGGCTCAGAACCTCACAGGGAGCAAGAGTGCTAGGCTCTTATCTCAGGTCTGGCTTTATCAAAGGCCACAGGAGGTCAGCAGGGACATAGCTTAAAGCAAGCACCCTTGCTGTTATCTCCAGCTGCAGGTCTCCAAGATTTTGCCTTAGGGTAAATTCATAACATGACCACTGTGGGGAAGGGAACAAAGGTCAGCAGACAGAGCTGGGTATCTGAGAACATTTGGGAGCCCTTCAGGGCAAGCTGTCCTGGGAGAAGGGCACATTTCTAGGCTCATCTCTTCTGGGGATCCTTGCTATCCCAGAGGCAGGGAGACTAATTTAGGCGTTTGTCACTTGCCCTCTTAGGAGGGCAAAGCCTGCACCCCTGGGCTGAGTCCTGGGCAGAGTGCTGGCATGCAGGCCATCTGCCTAGAGTGAGGGTACAGAGGCAGCAGCTGGATGAGTGTGCCCTGCCTAAAGTATTTCCCTGCACCATGGCTCTCAAAGCATTGGCCCATCTTTTAGTGAAACACTACAGAATATTACCTGTGTCAAGAGTACCTCAGTAGGATAAATTTTGTGGGTGTGTTTTAAAGATCTGGGCTCTGACACCTTGTGTGGTGACCTGAAACTTATCCCAGCACTCAGGGCTGAGACAGAGGCATCACAAGTTAGAAGCTAGCCTGGGAAAATTGGTGATCTATCAAGAGCCCTTGTCTAAAAATAAAAATGGCTGGGGACTTATTTCAATGCAAATGGCAGCCGGTTAGCTCAGTTGGTTAGAGTGTGGTGCTTAGCAATCAAAGGCCTTGGGTTCCCTAGTATCCCTTCCCCAGTTTCTCATATGCATCACACACACACACACACACACACACACACACACACACACACACATAAAAAAGATGTTCTGGGTGTTGCAGCCACAGGAGGGCCAGGGAGGCCAGATAGCAAGTCCTGTGGTCACCATGAAGCCACAGCAGACGCCAGTGACCAGGAAGGCATTTGCTCAGCCAGATCATGACCAAGGCGGAGCTGCAAATGCCAGATCCAGATCCCTGTGGAGCTGGAGAACTGGACTGATAGGCAGCAGTTTGAAGAAATGCTTCAAACTCTACAAATGACCATTAAGGAAATAGAGAAACTAGGGGACCAGTCAGGCCCTCAAGGCCATTTGGCTTGTTTGGCAGATATGTCATGTTCTTATGCATAGAAAGCCATCATGACAAGTTACCAAACAAAGTCTCTAAACAGGTTCAAGAATCGAGTGACAAGGTATTCATTCCCCGAGATCACCTGACTGATCCCATGGAGAGAGAATTGTTATTTATTTATTTTTTTATTTTGTGATGGTATGGGGAATTGAACCCAGTGCCTTTGCACTGAGCTACATCCCTAGACTGTTTTTCTTTTTCTTCCTCTTTCTTTTCTTAGTCTCTCTCTCCATCTCCCCTTTCCCCCACCTGCCCTGCTTTTCTCATTTTTAGTCAAATTCTTGCTAAATTTCCCAGACTGGTCCTCCTGTCTCAGCCTTCACAGAGTTCTGGGATTAATTATAGGCATGCCACTGTGCCTTGGCAAGACTTTGAGGTTTTTTAAAAAAATATTTATTTATTTACTTGGTACAGGGTCTTGCTATGCAGCTCAAACTCAGTGATCCTCCTGTCTCAGCCTTCCCAGAGCTGGGATTATAGGCATGTGCCACCATGCCCGGTTTTGGTGGTCAGTACAATACAGCTGGGGTAACCCCTGACAAGTGCAGCATGTAGTACCAGGGGTTGAACCTGGGTCCTTGCACTTGCCAGGTAGGTGCTTAGACTGCTGAGCTATCTCCCTGGCCAACTGTTTTCAGATTGAAATTACCATTTATGAAGACAGAAACATGAAGAATGAAAGCTAAACTGTGGATAAAGGTTGTGCCTGCAGTCGGCACTCTCATCTACCGATGGCTGACCAGAGTGTCCCAGCCTCCACTCTTTCATGTCTGCCACCAGAGCCATGGCACCACTGAGTCTAGCAACCAGCTTTCTAAACTGCCATCCCTGAAGTGACCCCTATTCCACTTTGCGTCTCCAAATCTTACAGGACTCTGTAAGCTTGTGATTCTTTCCTGAGAACATAAAATGATGGATTTCACTTTTAAATTCAAAGTCACTTAACAAAGCAGAGGTTCTGGGTGTGGTGGCACATGCCTATCACCCCAGTACTCTGGGAGGCTGAGGCAGGAGGATAAAATGATCAAGCCCAGACTGGGCAATATAGCGAATTGGGAGGATCCCTCTGAAAAGAAAATATAAAAAGGTTAGGGGATGGAGCTCAGTCAGAATGCTTTGGGTTTAATCCTCAGTATCAAAAAACTCAACACAGTTTAGCCAGTGCAGTTGATTTCTGACCTCCACCAGTCCCACTGGTTTTCTTCATTCCCTGGATGGGTTTGCCAGGTGGGCGTTCAACAAGTCATATTTTAGTACTTAAGCTTATTCCCCCCAATCATTACAGGCTTTTCTCCAGGGGAGGGATAATTATGTCTGTGGTTTTGCTAATGCAGTGCCTAACTCAAATGATCTTCCTGCCTCAGCCTCCCAGAATCCTGGAATTACAAATGTGTACACATCCCCAGCTACAACTTCATTGTTTCTTAAATTTCTGCCAAATCTCTCAGTGATTCGTTTCAAAATGTGCTTTTACCAAAGACATTGTTTTTCAGCAATAGATGCACACCCCAGGGTAAGACATACAATGTTTTTTTATTGATCCGTATGTCTTTAAGCAGTCTAAGAAGCCGTTAGACTTAGCTTGGTCAACTAGCAGACAAGGACACTCAGGCTGTAAAAAGATTCTCACCAGAGGTAAGGTTCTGGGGTGAGAAGTAATTGCTACACAAGTCGTCCCCAGCCCTGGGAAGCCAAAGGCTAGAAGTAACTACAAAGAGAAATAGAGCAGGGAAGGGAGAAGGTGTCAGGACTGAGGGGGGAAGGCCTGGGGATTTCTTAATGGGGGTGAGTGGCTAAGTTAATGATGAGACAGATGTGAAGCCTCTCCCTTCTGCTGTGATAGCTGGAGTGGGATGTGGTCTGGCACACAGGTGTCATGCTGGTCCTTCCCTTTCTCCTGGTCCCCAGGATGGATGAAACAACTTGCTCCAACACCCTTTTTAAGTTTTTTTCTAGTGCTCGCTTTGGCAGCACATATACTAAGCAAAGTTTTGTTAGCATATGCTTGCAGTATAAGCTGCTTACATTTATCACTGGGAGCCGGCACACGCATGTAGCATATTTTAATTCTTTGCTCATCCCATCCCCTGTCTGCTCCCTCCAAGTCTTGCTCCCCTTCTCATCTAGAAGAGATCTATTTCCCCTTTTTGCATTTTTTTTAATCCATTATCCCTTCTCTCCCTCTATCTCTTATTCCCCTTCCCATCTGAAAAAGATCTCCCTTCTTCCCATTATCTTTTAGTTTGCTCTTTATTTGTATTTTGGGTTTCTCATATGGGGGAACCATTAGTTCATTTATATCATGGTCTCCATGCATCTGTTTACCTACAAGTGCCTCGTCTATCCTCTTTCACAGAGTACTACGCCATTGTGGATAAATATCAGATTTCAGCCCCAGTATTTCTGTGGAAACACAGCAGCCATCAGTTAAGCAGTGGTGGTGCCCATGCTCTCCTGTACTGCTGCCCTGACAGCAGCAGCTGGCCTAGACATCCCACGACCTCCAGGAAGTGTCTACTTAACTGCAGCAGCCACCAGTTTGAACCTAGCAGTACAGATGAATTTGGAGCCATAAAGAATCTTGAATCAGAAGGTGTGAACTTAGATCAATTTTTAGCAAATAGTGGGCTCAAAATTGAACCAATCACTACCAGCCCCTCAACCCTCCCATAAAGCATTCTAAAATGCTATTGTTCAGCTTCTACCATTTTCTATTAGGTTTAAAGCCAAAATAAGTAAATGGATTTAATCTGAAAGCAAGCATAAAAACTTGACTCCAAAGTATCTCAAAATATCTCACAATGATAAGATAATTAAATATTCTGTTAATTTTGGATCATGTTCTGAAACTTTTCTTGGGGAGTGTGTCGGGAGAGTGTCTTTTTTTTTTTTTTTTTTTTTGTGGAACCAGGGATTGAACTCAGACCCTTGCGTTTGCCAGGCAAGCGCTTATTCTACTGAGCCATCTCCCCTGCCCCTGGGGAAAGTATCTTGCTATGTAGTTCAGGCAGGCCTCTGACAGAGACCCTCCTGACTCAGCTTC